TATCTTGGTTGACTCTATGTTCCATTTTATTTTTTTCTCCAACTAGATTATAAGCTTCTTGAGGGCAGGGACAGTTTCTTGATCATCTCCATATTATTCACAATGCCCAGCATGGCATTTTGAACATGCTGTATGCTAAGTAAATATTTGTTGATTTAATAATTTTTTCATGGTTTGCAGAAATGTACAATTTGAAAAGGGGATGGGTGAGCCAGTTGCATAGCAAGGCTAATTGATGAACAACAAGTCCCATACACTGTTAAAGTCCTAGAGGAAGACTTTTAGCACATTGGTTAGATTTTCTGTGGAGATGGAGCATCTATAGGTAAACACTTAAAAGTGCTGGGCAGCTAGGTGGCACAGTGGATACAGCTCCTGCCTTGGAGTGGAGGTCCTGAGTTCAAATCCAGCCTCAGACACTTGACACTTACTAGCTGTGCGATCCTGGGCAAGTCACTTACCCCCAATTGCCTCACCAAAAAGCAAAAAACAAAACAAAACACTTAAAAGTGCCAAACAAAATAAGGAGTGGGTAAGTAGAGAACAGAAAAGGTATTAGCGGACTGGGGGATAAACAAATACTGTCCTGATTTTCAAAATAGGCAAGATAATGGAATCCTCAAACTACAGTCCATTATGTGTGACTTCCAGTTTCTTGGAAAATTCTAGAATATATACCAAGGAGATGGTTAGTGAAAAATGTCTAAGAAGAGGAAATGGGGATTCCAAAGAACCAACATAGCTTTATAAAGAAGAAGTCTTTCCAATGCCAAAATTTCCTTTTTTTTTTTTTTGACACTATTAAATTGATAGATCAGAACTGCTATAGATATAGAGGCAGCTAGGTGGCACAGTATATACAGAATGGGACTTGGAGTCAGTAGATCTGAGTTCAAATACTGCCACAGACATATATTATCTGGGTGACTCTGGGAAAGTCACTTAACCTCTGCAAGCCTCATTTTAAAATCTGTAAAATATCTCATCTGTAAAATGAAAATAATAATACCACCTACAACCCAGGGTTGTTGTGAGGATAAAATGAGATGATATTTGTAAAGTGCTCTGCGAATCTTAAGAGCAGTTATAAAAATGCTAGCTATTATTTTATAAAGTTTATCTAGATTTTTACAAAATATTTCATGAAGTCACTCATTCTATTCTTATGGAGAATACTGGAGAGTTGTCAGCTAGACAATATTAAAATTAGGTCAATTCAGAACTGGTTGACTGACCAGCCCCAGGAGTTGGTTGGTTGAACTTAATGGTTCAATGTCAACTTACAAAGAAGTTTCCTGTAGAGTTTCTGAGGGATCTGTGCTCATATTTTTATTAATGACCTAAATAAAGGTATTTGTCCTTGTCAAATATGCAAGAACTTAAACCTAGGAGGGGTCATTAATACATCAGAAGACAAGGGCAGGATCCCTAAAAAATCCCTGACAGTCTGGAATACAGAATTGAATTGAATAAGATTAAAATGAATAGAGACAAATGTAAAAGTCTTATATTTGAGTTCAAGAAGTCAACTTCACAAGTGCAATATGAGGGAATTATGGTTAGACAGCAATCTGTCTGAAAAAGATGTGAGGGATTTAGTGAACTGTAAGCTCACAAAGTCAACAGTGTGATACAGGACTAATGAAATGAAATCTTGGGTTACATTAAGCTAATGTAATCTTGAGTTGTATTAAGCAAGGTATAACTTCCATGAATAAGGAGATGATACTGCCTCTCTATTCTATACTGGTCAGATGACATCTGGAGTATTGTGCTGGGGCAGCTAGGTGGCACAGTGCCCTGTAGTCAGGAGGACCTGAATTCAAATCAGGCCTCAGACACTTGACACTTACTAGCTGTGTGACCCTGAGCAAGTCACTTAACCCCAATTGCCTCACCAAAAAAAAAAAAAAAGTTACAAAGAAGCAAACTTAGGATTGATTCATAAAAGAATCTCCTAATGATTACAGCTGCTCCAAAGTAGAGCAAGCCTGGACCTCCCAGGAGGATTAATCAAAAGCTGGAAGACCTCTTGTCAAGTGTGTCATTAACAGGTATTTTTTTTAGGCTATGGGTTGGAATAAATGGCCACTGAGGTCTGAAATTTACCAATTATGGTTGTGGTACTGCACTGCACTGGAGGGTCAACTGGGACCCTGTGAACTCATGGATTCAGCCACATATAAGTACTAGATGCCAGCTAGTTAAGCTAGGTGGAACAGTGGTGGATAGGGCACTAGGCCTGGAGTCAGGAAGACTCATCTTCCTGAGTTCAAACCTGGCCTCACACACTTACTAGCTGTGTGACTCTGGGTAAGTCATTTCACCCTGTTTGCCTCAGTTTTCTCATCTGTAAAATGAGTTGGAGAAGGAAATGGCAAACCACTCCAGTATCTTTGCCAAGAAAATCCCAAAGGGGGTCATGAAGGGTCAGATATGACTGAAAGCACTGAACAACAGTGAACCTGAAATCCAACTCCATGGACCTGAAATCCCACTCTCTCCAAAGATGCAGGCTGGGGCAGCTAGGTGGTACAGTGGATAGAGCACCGGCCCTGAAGTCAGGAAGAACTGAGTTCAAATCCGGCCTCAGACCAAACATTTGACACTTACTAGCTGTGTGACCCTGGGCAAGTCACTTAACCCCAATTGCCTGAAAAAAAAAAAGAAAAGAAAACCAAAGGAGAAAGGTGTGAAATGATCTAAGGAGGGGGGAGGAGGAGAGATAAGGAAAGGTTAAAAGATATTACAAAGATGCAGCTCATCACTCAGCCAGGCATGCTCATCCTGATCTTGTCCAGATCCAAACATAAAACATAAAAGCAAAATTCTCAACCTGGGTAAAACGTTCACCCAGAGGCTCCTTGGGCACTCACAAAAGCAAATCACTCAACTCACCTTCATTTACTGAAAAGTTAAATCTTCATTTAAGCTCAGTATATTTTTATAATGATTTCATAAGCCATCAATCATAAATCTTGGAAGATCTGACATTTCCCCTTGTACAAAAAGTCTAACAAGGTAACTTTCTTTAGGGAAGGGAAAACTTGTATTAAGGGCAAAACAGAACAACTTCATAAAACAGCCAATAGGTTTAATTGGCTTTTGATCTAGTGTCACCCCTAAAGTTAATCATCCAATGAGCACTATTTTATCAGATAACTGGAGTAGTCAAAAAGTCTTCCCTCCACATACCAGGAGGGAGAAAATTATCATTAAGGCAAAAAAAAAAAAAAACAACACATAATTCAACCAAAACTGAAAATGAGAAAAAATAAAACATACAAAAGAAAAAGTTCTTTCTTTGATAATACACTTAACATCATGCATATTCTTTGTAGTGTTACCAGAACTGGAAGTTCCATCACCAGGGCCTCCCTTTGACCTTGGGAACCCAGTTAACTAAGAATTACTGCAAGGTTTTCTGTTTCATTTATTATTAGTCCATACTATCTGCATTGCTGTAGTATTTGTTAGGAATATCATCAGTGTGATTTTGCCGCAAATCTACAGTAAAAATGCCCTCCCCCCAAGAAGGGGGGCAAGAACTGGAATACAAAGTGAATGGTATGTAAGAGGGTAGATTTAAAAAACAATAATTACACTCTAGTATATCTAGGATCTAAACAGTCCTAATTGAGGGAAGGGGGAGGCAGTCATTTGTGAAGAGGAGATTTGTTTAAAGTTCCATTCCTTAACTGATATGACATATGATTTTTAAAAATACAATGCTCCATTTTAAAATGGAAATCATGGTTGGGGTGGGAGTGAGAGGGGATCCCTTATAGTGCTTTCCCCAAAAGCGGGGAAAATAACTTGGCTGCCACTGGGTTTCACTCAATCTCATACCATTCCTCTCCATTATGTAATGCTGGGCTACAGTCCTAAGTCTGTATGTTTAAGCTCCTACATAGGAGATTTATCACAGCTGGTACCATAAAATCCGTGTTTGATGACAACTTCCGAAAACAAGCAAATGCCTTGTAAAGGTGCATATACAAAGCAAATGTGAGTTTTAAAACTATTGGCTTCATGACTTTCCTTTCCCATTCTTCCCCCAGCTGACCCCTCACCTCCCCTTTTCCTCCTCTCTTCCCCATTCCCCCTCCCTTCAGCATCCCCAGTGACACAGTCTTCAAGCAGGCTACTTGCTCAATGCAGGGAAAGCACGTCTTGACTGCAATGCAAACCCTGTCCCGAGATGAACTGGGTAAGGCAGACATGTCCCCAGCAAAGTGTGAATGAAAACTGAGGGCTGCAGGGCAGGAAGAAGAGATGGACAAGACAGGGGTAACCTAGGCACAGAAGAAACGAATTCACAACTTCCCGGGTTCTGTTCTCCCTTGGGGGAGCCGCTACGGATTTTGCTCTCACAGGCTAGGATGCTCTTTCGGGCGGTAATTCTCTTCTTGCCAATTACATCAGTGCTTTTCTCATCCAGCCGCAATTCCCAGCCACACTGAAGCGAGCTGGGTGCATTAGGCAGCGTGGGGGAAATGAGACTAGACGAATGCAGGAGTGTCTGCCAAGAGGCTGTAATTCCCAGTCACCCGGGCAAAAACGGGGGAGGAGGTGTTAGGGGGATGAAAAGGGAGGGGGCGACAAGGAGGGGAAAACCGTGACACACGATCTCCCACCCTGCCCACTCCGCCGCCCCCACCCAGCCAGAACCTCGGCTGGACGAGGAAGGACACACGCCCCCGCCACCAACCCGAAGCCCAGTGTCGGTCCGATGAGAGGGGGAGGGGAGGGCAGTGGAGGAGCACAGACCCTTAATCTGGCTAGTGTGGACAGGCTTCAGGTTGCAGAAGCCAACCTTCCTGCCCCGCGGCCCCTCCGCCCACTTCAGAGTCCTCCGATCCTCGGAGACACACACAATGCAAATCCAGAGTCCCCCAGTGCGTGAAGAGTCCACAGCAAGGGACCGTCGGGGCTTCACCCCTATTTCTCCCACCTCTGGTCCGTCGTCCCCCATTCCCCAGAGAGAGAGAGGAACCCACCTGCAGGGAAAGAAGAGCCGCCCCGAGTTGAGTCGAGTCCTGCAGCAGGAGGAAGCAGCGGGAGCCAGAGAGGTTCGGGCCAGGCTGGATAGGGGAGCCGCCTGCACCCAAGTCTCGGTCACCCTAGACAGCAGCAGCGGCTCCTGCGCCTTCAGTGGTCCGCCAAGCCGCAGCCCCTCCTCTCCCGCGGGAGGGGCAGGAATTACAGGGCGGGCTGTGGGTCCCCGCCCCCTGGCTCCCCGGGGCGGAGGAGATGCCCCCGGGCGACGGGGCCGGAGAAGCTGGAGGATGCTGCGCGCTGTCCGCCCCAGTCTGCTGTCGGCCGCAGTCCCCGCCAGGTCCCGGGTGCCCCTCCCTGCAGCGAAAGAGGCTCGGGAGCTACGGGCAGGGCGGCGCCAAGACCCGGACGCATGGAGCTTCCAGAGCCCCGGAGCGGGATTTACTTCCTGGGCTTGCGCCCAAGTGGGCACCCTTGGGAGCCCAGAGACTCTGGAAATCACCTGCCCCAGAGACTCTCTCCGGGCTTCACCAGGCCTGGCGTACGGTCCCGGGCAGCGGTGTAAGGGTTCTAGCTCTAAACCGAACAGTGGAACTGGCCCCGGCACCAGCTACAGCGTTATGGCCCAGAATTTCTCCGGCCCCGCAAGACGCGGGCTGCACCAGCAGAGTGTGCGAGCTGATTCAAAGCGAAACAGTAACCCTTTAACCTGAGCCTGGGGCTCCTGCCAATACCCAGCCTTCAAGGGTGCCCTCCAAAAGGCCGACTGTCAGAGTTGGACAACTCAGAAGCTCGTGCTTTCTCCCTAGCCCGCTGACTCTCAATCAGCAAGATAAAACTCCCCAGGCCGAAGCAAACCGTGAAGTACTGCAGGGTTGTCCAAGTTGGAAACTAGTTTGCTCCCAGATTAGCTGGATGATTTGGGTCTCTACCCACCACAGTTCAACTCCCTAATTTCATGCATATAATTGTGCTTATCCTCTTAGGGCCTTGGACATTCATTCCACATTTAGGAAACGATGTCATACACTACTGTGAGTATAGACCTTTCCTCTGGAAATTGATAGTACAGGAAAAAAGCATTCCAAGACCCCATCATCATCCCCATTCAGCCACCAAAGTGATTTTCCTGAAGGGCAGGTCCAATCAAGTCACAGCCCCAGGAACAAATACAAAATGCTCTCTGCTCCAAAAACAAGACACTCCATCTTTTGGCTCCAGGCATTTTCTCTGGCTGTCCATCATGCCTGGAATACTCTTCTTCCTCTTCTCGCACTAGGGTCTTCTCCCTGGCTTCAAGTTCTAACTAAAAGACCCCCTTCCTGAACCCTTTTAATTCCAGTACCTTCTCTCTGTTAATAAAAGCCTGTTTTGTCCAGGATATAGCTTGCTCGTTATTTGTTTGTTGTCTCCCCCATTGCAATGTAAGCTTCTTGAGGGCAGAGACAGTCCTTTTGCACTTTTTGTAACCTGAGCACTTAGCACAGTGCCTAGCACGTAGTTGTTCAAACCGGACTCTTCATGACTCCATTTGGGGTTTTCTTGGCAAAGATACTGGAGCAGTTTACAATTTCCTTCTCCAACTCATTTTACAGATGAGGAACTGAGGCAAACAGGGTTAAGTAATTTTTCCAAGATCACATAGCTAGCAAGTGTCTGAGGTCATGTTAGAACTCAATAAGATGAGTCTTCCTTACTCTAGGCCAGCCCTCTATCCACTGCACCAACTGTGCCAACTTTTCCCTTCTAATACTCTCATCAAAGATACCCTTCCAACATATAGATTATTTTCATGAAAGTTGTCTAAACATGTCAAAATTGACATATGGAACAGGAGTTTTCTTGGATTTCCACACTTTTGATATTTTTGTCTCCTTCAAATTCTTTGGAAATTGATATTACTTCGGCACCCTCAAAATTTGTCACTTCTATCATGGACTTGGGCTATCCCAGCTGCTTTTTCCATTTTTGTTCTCTTTTCATTATAAGTAGACTATGTTACAGTCCCATTGTGGCAGCTTTGCTGTCCTTGATAATGAAAAAAGTTTATTATAAAATATTTCTCAGCAGATATGACATAGAAATAGAAAGATGATTAGAACAGATGGTGGCCAGTCCATCCTAGCCTGCAGTTCACAGCTATGCAACATACCATAAGGGTTTTGCATTGAGTTATCACAGCTAAACACAACAAAAAATGCCTCCTTCTTTGTCACCAATTATTCAGGATTGTAAGGGGGTAAATATCGAAAAGTTTTGGTAAATTTAGTATTAAAAAAATCATTACCTCCTCATTAAACAGCTGCTGGGTATCCCTCACAATGCTGGGAGGGGGTAGAATTCAAGAAAAGTAAAACATGCTCCTTGCCCTCAAGGATCTTTTAATCTAATAAAGAAAAGATTGATGAGCCTGAAGGAGTGTTCTTGGTGGATCCTGGGAAATAGCTGGTTTTCTGGGACAAGCACATACCTGCTGGTCTTAAAACAAAATAGACAATTAGCATTCTTGCAGAGTATGGTGACTGTGGCAGAAAACAAGTTTCTACACTCATCTACTCTTTGTGCCTCATTTAGAACTTTGTAACTGATAACATAGTAGTTGTTGTTGATGCATGTCATTCATAAATATAATCCCAAGGCTTTGATCTCCACTTGCCTAAGGCTGCCCTCTTGACAATGACCAAGAAACTGAGATACACAACTCTCTGGGAAGACTCATACCCATATTAACTGGCTTCTAAGCTGTAGACCTTTGTTGTTTTTTTTTCAGTCTTTTCAGTTGTGACTCTTGGTGACCCCTTTTGGGATTTTCTTGGCAAAGATACTGCAGTGGTTTTTTATTTCCTTCTTCAACTCATTTTACAGATGAGGAAACTGAGGCAAACAAGATTAAGTGACTTGCCCAGGGTCACATAGCTAGTAAGTGTCTGAGGCTGGATTTGAACTCAGGAAGAGGAGTCTATCTGATTTCAAGCCCAGTGTTCTATCCACTGAACCACCTAGTAATAAAAAACTTTCTAAACTATAATTGACAGTAGATGACCCAGAGTTCCCTTTTTTCACCAACAATGCTTTAATTCAATTTAACAAACATTTTTTAAAGAGCCTACAATGAATAATGCATTGTACTAGGTATTTAGGATAGAAAGACAAAAACTGAATAGTCCTTGTCCTTGAGAGAATATATATATATATATTATGTGTGTGTGTATATATATATATATATATATATATACATATACTATCACAATAGCCTGCTGGTTGATCTGCCTACGTCAAGTTTCTCTCCACTCCAGTCCATGCACAGGTCTAACTATGTTACTCTCATGCTTAATAAATTATCACCCCCAGGATCAAATAAAAATCTTCTATTTAGCATTAAAAGCCCTTCATAACCTAGTTCCTCTTACTTTTCCAGTCTTCTTACACCTTTATCCTTGACACATACTCTTCAACACAGTTGGCTTCCTGGCTGTTTTACTCCCAAGACTATCTCTTGGTTCTTTGACTTGCGTCCATGCCCATAGTGCTCTCCCTCCTCACCTCTACCTCCTGGTTTCCTGGTTACCTTCAAGTCCCAACTAAATTCCCACTTTCTACCAGAAGCCTTTTCCAATCCCTCTTAATTCTAGTGCCTTCCCTCTATTAATTATTTCTAGTTCATGCAGTATATAGCTGGTTTAAGCATATTTCTTTTTTTTGTTTTTGTTTTTAGGCTATTGGGGTTAAGTGACTTGCCCAGGGTCACACAGCTAGTAAGTGTCAAGTGTTTTGGTCTGAGGTCAGATTTGAACTCAGGTCCTCCTGAATTCAGGGCCGGTGCTCTATCCACTGAGCCACCTAGCTGCCCCAAGCATATTTCTTAGTTCCTTATCTCCCCCATCAGATTGTGAGCTCCTTGAAGGCAGGGACTGTCTTCCCCCCCACCCTGAACTTTGAATGTCCAAGGCTTATCACTCTGTTCAGTACAAAGGACACCCTAAATAAATGCTTTATTGACTGACTGACAAGTAAAACCAGGTAGTTGGAGGAGAGACTGAGAGAGAGTGCTAATCACAGGGAATATTAGAAAAAGCTGCACATCTGTGATACTTGAGCTAAGGCCCAAAGAAGCTAAGGATTCTCCCAGATGGAGTTCCAGGTATGAGGTAGGAGGAGGTAGGGATCGAGGTCCAGGGAAATAGTCTGTTCAAAGGCATGGGGATGGAGGATAGAATGCTAAGCTTGGGAAATAATCCTGTTTTGCTAGAACATAAAGTGTGTAAAGGAAAATAATGTGAAATAAGTCTAGAAAGAAGTTGGATTTCGATTGTAGAAAGCTTTAAATATCAGGCTGCAGAGCTCGAGTTGATTTAAGAAATTATGGCTAGGGGAAATCCTTCTCCCTTCCCCTTCCCCCCCACTCCCATATACATTGGGAGGCACTTGGTAACTCTTATTCTAACAAAAATTTATTTTTCTCTGCCACCAGGAAAAGGCTCAGAGTAAAGGAAGTTTCTATAATGAGCCTATACCATAAAACAACACTCTCACAATGTTTATTTCATTAATTCAATAAATATACAACAAGAACCTGCTTTTCTGCGTGTTAAGCATTATTCCAAGTGTTGTGAGGGATGGAAAGATGAATTATTGCTTGTCTTTAAAGACCTTACAGTCTTAGAGGGGAAACTAGCAGGTAGACAAGTAACTGATACCAGGTAGAATGCAATAAATGCTATTAAGACAGAGGCAAACTATGTGCTATGAGAATTCAGAAGAGAGATCATTTCAATGTGAGCCCCAGTGTTTACATTATGGGAATTATATCTGTGTATATATGTGCTAAAAATATATGTGTATGTGTGTGTGTATATATATAAAATGTACTTTTTGATGTTTTACTTATAATCAGGGACTGGCTAATGAGAGCCCAGCTCTGGGAATATGCACAGGGAACCCATGTGGATGTTTAGTGAGCTAATTTCTAAATGTGTTTGATGAATAGAATGGAAGATCTGGGTCTACAAAAGTTTCTTTTGTGCTTACTCTGTGTTTGCTTTGTGCTTAAGGTGAAGAAAAACCTTTTAATTAAGTGCTGAGTTGGAACTGAGTGCTCTCTGCACACCTCTCAGTGGCCCTGAGTGAAGAGGAGGTAATACTGGAAACTTCTGGTGG